GTCTGCATGATTTACTCCAGTCATTATTCACTAGGGATAACTAGCAGTGTCTGCATGATTTACTCCAGTCATAATTCACTAAGGATAACTAGCAGTGTCTCCATGATTTACTCCAGTCATAATTCACTAAGGATAACTAGCAGTGTCTGCATGATTTACTCCAGTCATAATTCACTAAAGATAACTAGCAGTGTCTGCATGATTTACTCCAGTCATAATTCACTAAGGATAACTACAGTGTCTGCATGATTTACCCCAGTTATTTCATTCTTGTTACTTGAATGAAGAAGCATGCAAATGCTCCTTTTCATCAAATATTTAGAAGGTTTATGACCACAATGTTATTTAAATTATGTTATAATTAAGTCATAATAATTTTATAGTTTTAAAAGTTTGATATTCGCTCATGTATGAAAATAAACTAATTTTACAAACAAATGTTGTTTTGTGTGGTGTACATGTAGGAAAAAATCGACAGACTGTTACACTTGTTACATGAAGCAGATCCCACTGGAGAAAGAGTGGACTCAGATGAACTTCTGTCTTTAGAAGGTATGGAAAAAAAAATAAAACACCCCACTTATATCAAAGTAGTAACAATTTTTATTATTAGTTTTTATTATTTATTTATTAGTTTCACTTGACTTACTGACTTGTTTAGAGGGAAATAATCTCTCTACTTCTAACTAGATAGAAATGTAACTAAAGAGTAAACTAAGCCTAACCAATGTAAGTGTTAGACTTCTAGCCAGGAGTAAAGTCAGTTGATCACAGACTAACTAAATAATAAGCTAAGCCTAATCAATGTGAATGCTAGATTGTACAACGCAAACATTAATTCTTTAAACTCTTGGGCTTGAGTTATTTTCTATTATCTCTGAAACCACTCCCATACATTTTAACATTTTGTTTATAGTTTTTCTACATTCCAATAATGTAAGTACTATCATTTCACTAGAACAATTCTTAGCCGTTTAATTGAAACTCAACAGAATTATACTGTAACAACCAAAGCTGTAAGACCCATTTAGAAAAGGGTACACAAAATGAAGGTATATCATGATACTGCATCTATTTTTTCTCTTTTTGAGATAATCTTTGTTCATGATTGTATCTGTTGACTGACTGAAAATCAAACATTGATTATATGATGACATAGAGTGGTGAATCAGGTTAGTTCAATGTAACAATGTAGATTAAAGTTTATGATGTAAGTGTGATGACTTTTTAGTGTATTTTTAAAGCTGATAATGTTGGTGAGAAACATTTAGTAGATAGCAGTGAATAGATCTTATACATGGAAATGTATTCACTGCAAGCTTTTGGCTATTTTACTGTTGCTGTCAGTAAACTAAACTGAATACAAAGTTTTTAAATTACAACTGATATAATTCTAAAGGCATATCTTCTGAAAACATCAGAGACTTTCCATTTTTTCAATTTAATATTTACAAAAATAACTATTTTCATGGTGGGAAGAAACTGTTAAAACTGGTTGCCTGTAGAAAAGTCTTTCTTTTGTGTTATAGTTTGTGCTGTATGTTGGGGCTGTGTTATCATCATATGTCTTTTAACAAGCTTAGTTACAGTGTTGTATCTAATATGTTATTATTTGATTTTTACCAGTGTAGTTACAGTGTTATATCTATGGTGTTATTAGTTGTCTTTTACCAGCTTAGCTACAGTGTTGTATGTATGGTATTATTAGTTGATTTTTACCAGCTTAGCTACAGTGTTGTATGTATGGTGTTTTGAAGTGTCTTTTGCACACCAAAGTGAAATAGGTTCATATAGAATTTGAAGAAAATGCTGTATTGATACTACTAATTGAATTTGATTTCAACTTCCATTGTGCATGCAAACTGAACATTACTGAAAGGGTTCCAGCAGAGGATCACCCAAAAGTATTGAACTTGTTTTAGGAAGTGGGAAGGAGGTACTGTTGCAACTGTAAAGGAAGTAAATAAAAAGTTTAAGTAAGGACATTTGGATAGATGCATCTGTACCCATGAATACACTGTGAATGAAGTGAAGGTTTGTAAAGAAACGTTTCTTAAACTCGTGATAGATCCTTGATTGACAAATGAGGGACAGCACCAGGAAAGAATGAAGATGTCCTTGAACAAATAAACAGTTTACCATGCTACAAGTCACATAATACTTGCTTGCAAAATGATTTTGAATAGCTGAAGCCAGACCTTAACCTTGCATGAATGAATGATCTGTACAAATGCAATCATGAAAACCAAGCATCATTGGTCTCTTATAAAAAGGTGTCTTTCAATCTTCATTTTAAAAGAGCTTATAAGGACACTTGCAAGGTATGTGATTATTTCAATCTAGAAAATCCAACAACTGCAGAGGTGAAACCAGAGCTGACGAATTAGCATGATACTCACCTTACTGCAGCTCAAAATGCAATAACTATGATGAACAAAGATCTTGTTGATGCCAAAAATATGCCTAAATTGGATGTTCATATGTTTGATCTACAGAAAACCCTCCCTTTGCTAAGACTGCAGACTAATGTTGTGTTCTAAAAAATACAACTTCAGCTGTATAATCATAATGGAACCACTAACAAAAGTTACTTGTATACATGGCTTGAAAATAAGGCAGGAAGAGGAGCAAAAAAAGTTGGTACTCTGGAGTGATTGCTGTGGTGTCCAAAACCAAAATATAAAGATAACCTTGCTTCTGCAACACCTCCTCCAGAATCATGCCTCCTTGAAGACCATGGCATTATGCTTCAGAGCGTTGGGAGACAGCTTCCTCCCTAATGTTTCCAAATTTGGTGATGTTGAATGTCAGCTGAAAAAGTAGTAACACCTAAACAAAGCAGATGACTACAGAAATGTGATGAAAGTACAAGTAGTTTACACTGACACGAACATATGTATATATATATATA